TAATTATATTAAAATATATAATCGGTTTCTAAATTTAAGTATTAACATTTAATAGGGTGAATTTTTGAATTTTAAATTGTGATTTTAGTTTTCAAATATAAGTTGAAACTACAATTTTTTCTTAGAATCATGATTGATACGCACTAACTTTTTATAATTTAACCAGAAAAATAATTATCGTTTTTAATATATTGAAAAAATGAGTAGAAATTTTTTTTACTCACTGCACTTGTATAAAATTTTAATTATTTATCTTTTTACTTTTAATAATTGAGATTTATTTACTTTTTATTATATATATTAAAAATAATTATCTTTTTCACCTAAAATTATGAGAAATTTCAACTATTAAAAGCGAAAAAATAAATTATCAAAATTTTATATAAATATAATGTATAAAATTTATATATAAATTAACCTTAACTCAAAAAAAATAATGAGAGTAACTACCAAATATGAGAATAGAGCTTGCTTGTTTTTCACTCTTGTTTTTATAGTTGGTGCCGTACGGTCGATTTTTAGTTAATATCACCTTGTACTCTTCCTTTGGTATAAATAGCTAAGCGCCCCAGCCATCTCCTGCCCTCAAGCTTGGCTGTACAATCAAATAAAGCCACCCAAACTCCCCTCTCCATACCTCTCAACTCTAAAGCCTCACAATGGCATTCAAAGCAATGCAAATATTTCCATTTCTCTTATATCTACTCTGCATCTGCTTCCACGCTTCCTACGGAGACGATAATGGCGGCTGGCAAAGTGCCCATGCCACCTTTTACTGTGGCGCCGATGCATCAGGCACAATGGGTGAGTCAAAAGTGCTAGTATGTATGATTTTCAAACTTCCGTTGATGAGAATGCTTGGAAGCCCACCCTTAATTACTAATTAAAAGTAATGTAGTTATTAATGTGATTAATTTTACAGGTGCAAATCACCAATTTCACAAGAATTAAGTAACCTTTAAAGATGTGATAGGCATGACCCATTTAATTTCTTTGCGTCCAAATAAATTTGGAGATATTTGAACTTGTGTTTTATATATGGTTTTGATTGATAGTTTTTAAATTCTTTTTTAATTTTTGAATTGTGAATGTAATCTAGAAGTGTTCTGTTTTTAAAAATACAAGAGGTTTCCCTTTTTTTTTTTTTCTTTTTTGTACTTGTAGGGGGAGCTTGCGGATACGGAAACCTGTACAGCCAGGGGTACGGGACAAGCACAGCAGCTCTAAGCACGGTACTCTTTAACAGTGGTCAGAGCTGCGGCGCGTGCTACGAGTTGCGGTCAATGACGATCCTCAATGGTGCATTTCCCGCACCATTACTGTCACGGCCACCGACTTCTGCCCACCTAACCTTGCTCTTTCCAATGACAATGGCGGCTGGTGCAATCCCCCTCGAGAGCACTTCGATCTGGCTGAGCCCGCTTTCCTGCAGATTGCTCAGTATCGGGCTGGAATTGTCCCCGTCCTCTTTAGAAGGTACAAAATTTCCTTTAAATATCATGGATTGACGGATAGATGCATGAGGTTGGGCATATATCCTACTTTAACTTCAGGACTTTAGAAACTCATGAGACAAAATTTTTGTATTTTTTAAATAATATTGAAAAATATCAATTTGTTAATTAATTTTAATTTATTAATTAATAGATATTAACTATTCTGTATATCATTATAATAAATAATTATATTATTAATCATTTTTATTTGTTAAATTGAATAAAAATATATTAAAATAATATTTTATAATTTTAATTATTATAATATTATTATTGGTGATCATAATTGTATTAAAAACTAAGGGATAAATGTGAGAAAATTGTCATAACATGGGCACTTGGGCTTTCGGCCCAGTAACATTAAATCACATTTAAGAGCATATCTTCTCATTCGATCAACAATTTAAATTCGATCCTTGCAAAATTGTTTACAAAAACAAATTATCATAGCATGGACACATAGATCTGATCTGGGCCTCGAAAAGGTAGAAAATAGGGTATAAAAATGATCACAGGCTGCACCGGACTGACCCTATCTTGGTTCTGCCCCTGTTATATTGACAGACAAATAATCACAAGTCAAATAAAATGTTGACAATGGTAAGTTTTTTTGATAAGCAAAACGAAATTTATTAAATGGAGTACAAAGGGTAGTCTTATCCACTTACAAAAATAAAAGAAAAAGTAAACCAACACACTCCTTACAAACAAATAACTAACACACCATATTTCACAAGA